TGATTATTCTCTCTATAATATAACATGAAAATTTCTAAAAAACTTGAAAAATATCATGAAGAAGATTAATATTTTTGAAAATTATGTACATAAATATAATAAGAATATTATACTTTAAGTAAGAAAGTATATAATAATTTTAATTAGATTATTTCTATTTAGCTCAATCTTTATTTTATACTATTTATATTATAAATTAACTTTTATATTACTTTTTATAAAGATTAATTTCATTTTGAATATACTATAATTAATTATTTATTTATATAATATAGTAGATATAATATAGTATATGATATAGTTACAGTATATAATGCAGTAATTACCAATTATTATTAAATTAAGCATACAAGAAATTTATATTAATTAATTTAATTTATTATTATTTCTATTTTTTAATTTATTTTATTACTTATATTTAGTCTTATTCTTTTATTAATTTAATTATATATATCATATTTAATTTATAATTTTATTAAATTAATAATTTTCTAATTAATTATTATTAATTTTTCTTTTTTTTCTCACTTTAGCTTTGAATATCTTAATATTTTGCTAATTTTAATTCTTAATTATCATATAATTAATATTTTTTATAATTATTCTTTTGAAATTCTATTTATTATTAAATAAATTAAATGAAATATTATATTAGAAATAATTTGTAATTAGTATAATAAGAAATTATTATATATAAAGAATTAAAAAATAATCAAGAAGAATAATTAAGTTTAATAGAAAGAACTAGCTATTAAGTTAAGAGTAGTTAATTAATATTTTTTTTTAATAAATATGTATATTTTATTACATATCTTATTTTTATTTTCTTCTTGCTCTATTAAAAAAATATTTTATCAGAAATAAAATTATATAAATTATCTTATTGAAAAAATATAATCTTTCAAAATTATAAAAATAAATAATTATCATAAATATAATCACTCTTACTATTTTAAAATATTTATATATATATAAACTTAAAATAATAATAATATAAATGATCATTTATATATTTAATATATTAGATTTAATATATTATTATATAGATAATTATATATATTAATATTATTAATTTAAATAATTAATATTTTTAATTAGATTTCTTTTTAATTATTTTTTTTACTCATTCTTATTAATTATTATTTATATTATTATTTATTATATTTATAATTATTAAATTATAATTAATTATTTTTTAAAGATGTGAATTAAATTAATTAATTATATTTAACTCACATATATTTTAAAAATAAAAATATTATTAATTTATTTATATTTTATATTAATTTTTTTTTATAAATAAGATCTATCTATTTTATAAATTATTTCTCAGATCTGAATACTTTTAAATAATAAAAAAATAATTATAAGTTATAAAATTAAAATTATTCATATTATATTTTATTTTATTTATAATTATTAACAAAATAATCTTATAGCTTATTTAAATTTAAGAAAAAAAAAGATAAAGATATATAAATTGTAAATAAATAAACTTATAAAAAAAATATGAGATAAATATTAAATAATAAAGAATAAAGATAATACAAATATTTCTAGAATATTTATTATTTATTTAAATAAATCATTAAATTTAGTTTTTAAAGTAATAATATAAATGATTTTATATTTAATTAAAAATAATTCAATAAAATAATTAATTAAATAATTAAGTAATTTATCTTTTATTAATATATATTTCTAATATATTTAATAATTAAATATTCTTTAAATAATAATAATCAAGCTCTTAATTAAATAATTTATCTTTTTCTCTTTTTATTAATACATTCTAATAATCAGATTTTTAAAATAATTCACATGATTTGACTTGACCAATCATAAATTTTCACATATTTTTGAAATCACATAATACAATTCGAATTGAATTATATATCACATGATATTATCCTGCTTTAATAGATCTTCTTGTTTACTATTTATTATATTATTTGATAATATGTTCAGCTAATAATTACTTATGAACGAATCACATGATATGAGCTGGATTAAATTCTATATCACGTGAAACTATCCGGCTTTAGTAGATCTCATTAATCTCTAGTCACATAAATAAAGTTGATTAATTACAGGGTCCACTAAAGCCAGGTAGTATCATGTAATTTTGGATTCAATCTGAATTCAAATCATGTGAAAAATACATATGATAAGTAAATGTAAAAAATACACGTGATAAGTAATGATTGGCTAAATAATTTTGATCAACAGATGACCATAATATTGATTGATTAACAATTGAGAATAAAGCTCATAATGATCAAAATAAAGCTCATAACAATCAGAATAAAACTCATAACAATTAGAATAAAGCTCATAATGATCAGAATAAAGCACATTTATTTTTTTGTAAAAAATAATAGTAATAAATACAATTATAAAATTAATTGATTTGTAAAATAATAAATGGTTATATTGCAATTTTAAAAATTGGATCTAATGACTTATCCAAATATGTAACAAATACTTTAGTAGTGTCATTATCATCTTCATCCTCAATTTTCCAATACTTGTCCCACACTCTTTCTAAAAGCTTGCCTACCTGCAACTTTCATGTCTCTGCCTCTCTCTCTGCTTGAGTCTGAATAGGCTCAAATATTTTGATTATTTCACAGCACTCATATATTTCAAATCCGGTCTCCATGAATATTTGTTGAAATTCCTCCCAAACATCAATTGTTAGTAACTTATTAGGATCAAAAAGATACTCATGGAGAATATATCAATAAGGAAATAGATAATGATGAAAGAATATACAAGAGCATACTGGTGATATTAGGTTTAGTAGTGGCTTTTCTTTCATGATTCTTGCACTCATAGCAATGATCTCACCTGCAATTAGTTTTTGAATAGAGTAGGGAAATTTATGAACTTTCTCCAGAATCTCATCATCAAGATTGGTTATAGAAATTTGTTTCTGATAGAAATTAAAGGTAGTCTTTTCAGAGTCAAGTTGTCTTTTACTATCGAGATCAGTGATCTTGTGACATGCTCCTAATATTAATACAAGTGTTTGATGAGTAAAAAATTATAATAAAAAATATTATTATGCAAGCATGATACCTATAAGACCAAACTCTTTAACTGTTATTCTTTTAAGCTTACTATGGAAAGACTCTAATAGATTAGTCAAGATAACTTGCAATAGGAGGGATGAATGCTATCGCACCCAGAGCACCTATTTTTCTGTATTTCTGATATAATTTTGATTAATATAGTTGACGATATTAGGTACAGGACAAGTGATGACAGCATTATAGATAACCTTTTCGCAGCTAATTCTCATTTGTTTATGCATGGCCAAGATTAATTAATTATGTGTTGCTAGATGGTAGACCTTGTACAGCTATGTATGCATCACATGTATGGTGCAAAGAATTATATCACAGTTTTGTTCACCATGTACGATTTCCAGAAAAATATTCATAATGCTGTTAATCTCCACACTATTCTGATCAGAGAGCATATATCAAGGGTGCCAATGAGACGCAAGTCTACAAATTGTCTTTAGTGCTTTAGTAATAGTACCATTATCTTCACTACTTATAAGAAAATGAGTATCAACATCTTAGCATCCGTAACTATCACAAACATACAGTGTGAAGAGGTACCATAAATATTTATTGGTGTTATATGTGGAGTTTATAAGTGTTAGCCACCCAAAAAGTTATAATTTCTCTAACTGTCTGGGATTCATAAAAATAAAATCTTGAGATAATTTTTGCATGATATTATATGTGCCTGCATGTGTATCATTTTGTATTGAGAAGCGTTCGACTTAATAATCCTTGCTTATTAAAAAATTAAGTGTATTTTTAATATCAGCTTCTAGATTGTGTTTGCCAATGAGATAAGCCATCAGTGGTTCACATAGTTTTTGTTGGATATTTGTAACTTCAGTTCTACGTAGGTTTTGAACTATGATATCAAGACCTTCTTTACTCATAATTTCTTTAATTATAGTTACAATAGCAGGTGAAGTATACAATTTGCTTGTTTTATCAGCTACTAATTTTCTAATAATCTCAGATTACTTAATCTTGTTATTGTCATTGATTGAATATATATAATTTGACGTATTTTTAAAATACTTAATTTTGACTATTTGAAAAGTAATGATGTGTGTTATCTTAATTTTTGCGTTGCATTTACCAGAATCACGCTTACTTATTTTTTTTTATTTTTCTATGGGAATACCTTCTTTGCGTGTACTTGATTTATTATGTTTTGCAAGATGACAGATATAGATGATCCAAAAATTATCATTAACACACTTCCAACTATTATATCGTATTCATATATTGAAAATGAGCAGTCACAAGTTCTTGCAAAATTCTTTTTCTGAGATCTCAAATAACGTATCAACATTGAATAACTTTGTACATTTTTGATTGATCGCTTGTAACATAATTAAAGTAAAAATATTAGGAAACTTAAATAAGAATGATGGATGAATATAAAGTGACAAAATGAGAAAATCAGTAAACTAAACTAGAAAAAAAAATAAATAAAAAATTGTAGAAATGTTAAGTATACGTATTGAATGAGTTATGTGATAGAGAAATGAAATGAAAAGTATATGATATTAGAAATGGCAAGTATGCATAGAATTGGTTTCTTATATGTTATTATTATATAAAGAATATATGGTATTAGAAATGGCGAGTTATTATAATACTTATAGCTTGTATTTGACACCAAAAATATATTCTTAATAATCTTAGCCCCCTTTCCCTTCCCCTTCTCCTTCCCCTTCTCTCTTAAAAAAAGCAATGCTGCCTTGCAATAAATAATGTTTATCGATGTGTTTACTACATCCTTGTAATAAACAAAATTTTTTTCTTTCGCATGTGAAAATGACTTGCAAATCGGATCAAATCAACCCAGATCATATCTGAATTGACTCGATCCGAATTGCACTACCCGGCTTTAGTGTTCCCCTTAATTGCGAGCAATCAATCATTTCAATCGTAATCAAAAGAATGAGCAACTCGAAGTACGTTCGCCTGGACGATAATAAAGAACCGGAAGTTGAGCGAAGCTCAGCAGCAGCCAATAATTCTACTGAAGCGAGCTCAATAACTGAAGATGATGAAAATCAGAGAATTTTCCCGAGGGACACTGTATTGGGAATAGTACCAGAGGATGATACACCTGAATACGACGATATTCAGGTGAGTGGTGAACATTAATTTTTAACTTGTGAATATTGGTCGGTTTTTATACTTCTATGTAAATGACCAAATAACTTTGTTTTAGTTAGAACGATCGTTACGACCTTGTCTGACAATAGCTGCTGTTTTACTTGTTATATGGGTGTTTGCCGCCATAATATACTATACCTTATTTGGAACGAAAAATATTGATAGATCAGACACATCAAGACGAATAGGATTTGAGGATTTTATTAGTGGATCATATCAACCTTCTTGGAAAGAATTAGAATGGAGTACAACTTGTAAGATTTTATTGATTATTCATGAGTTGTCCATAAAACATATATCTACTATTGTTGATTTATTATTATTCCACAGCTGAAGAAGATGGAATATTTACATATCGAGATGAATATAATAATATAATAATGGAGCATATTGCAGATAATTCAAAAACTGAGTTCGTTTCCGGTAGAGATATTGTTTATGTATGTGTGTATACATTGATTTTTTGAATCTTGATTTTGTTCTTTTTGATGTTGGCTAAGTTAATTATTCATTATAAACAAAAATACTTAATAGCCTTTTGGCGGGCCAATCGATTATTTTTCATTTAAAGTCTCTTCTGATTCTTTATATGTGTTACTTGCTACCAATAAAGAAAAGGTGATAATTCAATAGATAAACTTGACTTTCTAGAAAATACTATTTTTTCACCTAACTTATTCTTCTTTAAATTATGACTTTTTTTAGCAATGGCGTTATTCATACTACGCCAATTATTGGATATTTAATGTCACATCCAAAAAAACGTTTCCTCTAATTTCCTACGATCAATATGCTAAGATTGCATATGTTGAATGGAGTCCGGAAGGTCATAGTGTGGTATGCGTGTATTATAAACTTTGTGCATTTTATATTCATTACCTTAGTACAATGAACAATTGGAGTTTTATAAATTTTATTATTAATACTTAATAAATGAATAGGCTTTTGTAAAAAATAATGATATATATGTTTTGATAGATTTGACTAATGAACGACGTTTAACATTTGATGGTACTGACAATGTGTTTAATGGAGTTCCCGATTGGATTTATGAAGGTAAGATTATTTTATTAGAAATAAAATCTATAAATTATTATTCACTTAAAATGTTACTTTACAGAGGAAGTTCTCGCTAGTAATTATGCGTTATGGTGGTCACCGGAAGGGAAACAAGTCGCATATCTAAAACTTAATGAAACGGAAGTTCCCGAATATCGTTTTCCTTTATACTTGAAAAACGATATTGCAGATTCGTATACTCATGAGGTGGTTATGAAGTATCCCAAACCTGGATATCCTAACCCTCGCGTAACACTTCATGTATATGATATAGTAAGTTCATCGATAGTTGAACAAACAGAGGCTATACGAATGGAATATAACTTCGATGACGAGGATCGACTTATCACTGAAGTTGCTTGGGCCGGGGAGAGTTATTTGCTTGTGCGTGTAATGAACAGAATACAAGATCTACAACGAATTGTGCTTGTTGATGCTGCTTCTCGTAAGGGAACTACAGTCAGGGAAGAAAATGCTGAAGAACAAGACGGAGGATGGTTTGAAATTGTAATTTTTGTTATCCATTTATCCTTTCATTCTGTTGTGATTTAGGATTTAATAAAAATTTTTTTTAAAAGGCTCAAAGTATCGTTTATATTCCGAAGTCAGACACGCGCAAAAAAGATGCATATATTGACCTTGTTAACAATAATGGATATCTTCATCTTGCTATGTTTTCTCCGATTGATTCATCCAATCCCACATTTTTAACGAGTGGAGAATGGGAAGTCGTTGATGGAATTGAAGCAATTGATTACGATAACGAGATAATGTATATTATGTGCTACTGTTATTTGTTGTTTTTAATTTTATATAATGTTAATTTAATTTTTTATTTTAGTTATTATATTAGCACCGAGGAATCTTCAATTGAAAGACACGTATACTCCATCACTTTTGATGGAAAAAATAAAACTGCGTTAACTGATACTAGTAAACCTGGACAATATTCGGTTGATTTTTCACCTGGCACTAACTATTACAATTTGAAGTACGAGGGACCAGATTTGCCGTGGCAGAAAGTATTAAAAGTTAATGAACCAAGTATGCAAGGACTTTCACTATTTTCTTCTCAAATTTAATGACTGAATTGACTTTTTATTGTTTTTTATAAAAAGAATTTGAAAATGTACTAGAGAATAATACACGTTTACAGCAATTATTAGAAAAAAAGGATTTACCAACCATACGCCGAACTTCCATTAGTAGTGGAGGAATAGGTAAAGTAAAAGAAAAAAAATCGAGAAAGTTTATATAATATATTTATATTCGATTATATATTGCTAGAAATGAATGCACTGGAAATTCGACCTCCACACATGGATGAAAGTGGATACCAAAAATACCCGGTATTGTTTCGAGTTTATGGTGGACCTTGCTCGCAAATAGTCAATTATAAATTCGCAATAGATTGGCATACATATTTGGCATCATCCGTGAATCCAAAATTTATAATCGTGATGGTTGATGGTCGAGGTACCGGATTCAAAGGCCGCGCATTTCGTGTGGGAGTTCGAAATCGCTTGGGTGAATTAGAGTCTACAGATGTCGTTAATGCAGGTCGATATTGGTGTAATCTAAGTTATGTTGATTGTAATAGAATAGGGATATGGGGATGGTCATATGGTGGCTATTTGACAAGTAAAATTGTAGAAGCAAATTCTGGAGTATTTAAACTAGCGATTGCTGTTGCGCCTGTCACTGATTGGCGGTAAGATAATAAGAGGTTGGGTATAGGCGTAATTAATTTAAACTAAAAATATACTTTTGCTTCGCTTGTAGATTTTACGATTCTATTTATACTGAAAGATATATGAAGACACCACAATTAAATCAAGAAGGATATCAAAAAAGCGCAGTTTCGAATATGACTGGTTTTCTTGATACAAAATTTTTATTAATACACGGGACAGGAGATGGTTTGTTTGTCTCTTATTGTTTTGTTTTGCTGTTTTTTTTTTAAAAAAAATCCCTGTTTTATTGACACATGAATTAACAACTTAATGCACTTGATAGATAATGGTAAGTTTTAATTTGAGATCTTTTTTTCTAGAGTATCATGTTAATTAATTATTTATCGTTATGAATTTTAGTGCATTTTCAACAGACTGCGGTGCTTGTTGATCGTCTTACACTCGCCTCTGTACATAATTATCAAGTTCAATTTTTCACTGATAGTGATCACAATATAATGAAAAATAATGCGTATAGCGAGGTAAGCAAGCCATATAACTATTATTGTGAATATTGTCTTTCTCTATTGAACATTGATTAATGGTCTTTTTTTTATGAAAGCTTTATCTGCTTATAACCAGATTTTTGGAAGAGAATTTCGGTTTAGAAGAGAATTCCGGTAAAAAAGAATGATGCTCTCATAAATTTGTAACTTTATTATTATTGTAAAATTTTTGTATTTATTTGTGATTGCGAGATAAATTAGAAGAAAATAGTATCGGTATAATTTCAAAATACATTCCAAAGTATACAAAATTTAAAGATTAGTTGAAAACACGATTATTCAAGGAAAAATTCGGATTGAATAACTAAAAAGCAAAGTCACAACTACCAGTAACAGTTTTAGTTTTTATTATTATTTTAGCTCAATTTACAGTCTCAAATACGAAAAGAACTTGAATACGGTATAAATTAGGAAGACTAAAAATAAATAAATTAAAATCTAGATATTAAACACCACAACCCCAAATTCTTGATTTTGCACATTACAAATTGGATATGACAGAAAGTGTAAAGTCTGTAGTTGTTGAGAAACCACCCATATCTGGTGTCTTTGCCTAAATATTCGAAAACAGATTAGAATAGAAATAAAATACGTGCTTAATTATTAAATAAATTAAAAATTATATTACCGTTCCTCTTTCGATTGTTTTGTAAACAGCATTCGATATTTTATTGGCATGATCTTCAAGATTAAGATGACGCAACATCATTACCCCTGAAAGAAGTAAAGCTGTAGGATTGGCAGTATTGTGTCCCTGAATATCTTTGCCAACATGTCGACAACCCTAAAAAAATAAAAAATGATTCATTTAAATATTTTTTACTCTTTTTAACTTAAAGAAATTAAATGAATTACCGGTTCAAACAAGGCAAAATCACTTCCAATATTTGCTCCCGGTATGATTCCAGGACCACCAACTAACGCTGCCCCGACATTACTGACAATATTGCCGTATAAATTAGGCATCACCATCACGTCAAATTGTTGAGGTCGAGATACTAATTGCATAGAACAATTATCCACAATCATGTCATTGAATTGAATGCCTGTTGATTCATATTCTTTTGCGACTTCACGACATGTGTTCAAAAAGAGACCATCGCCAAGTTTCCTTTTTTATTGTTATAAGAAGAACCAATTTAGAAAAAGCATTAAATTAAAAATAAATATCGTAAGTGTATATACATGATGTTAGCTTTGTGTACACATGTTACTTTTTTGCGACCATTCTTGAGTGCAAAATCAAAAGCAAATCGTGCTATTCGTTGAGTCTTTTCTCTCGAAACAATTTTCAGAGATTCCACCACGCCTGGATATGACTTGAAATATTCTGTTAATTTATATCTTTTTAATTCCTTAGAAGATCCACAAATACATATATACCTGATGTTCCAATCCAGCATATTCTCCTTCAGTATTTTCGCGAATTATTGCAAAATCGACGTCTTTATGACGCGTTGGATATCCCGCTATATTCTTTATAAGTACCAAAGATGCATAAATATCAAGATCTTTTCGCATAGAGACATTAAAAGAGGAATGTCCAAGTTTTGATATTGGAGTATAAAGAATACCTATTATCAATTATAAACTTTCGATTGTAAATGATAGATTATAAAGATGATGCAAAATTACAGATTTTTAATTTGGTAAAACATGAAAGATTTACCCTTCAAAGCAATTTTATTTCTCCGTATACTATCAACACTCTGCTGGAACAGTACATCACCCTTCTCCGTATAACCAGTGACATCTAATTGCTCCCATTCAATTGGAACATTGGCGGCTTTAAATATCGTTTTAACGGCTGCAGCGGTTTCTTGTCCAATACCATCACCGGGTATTAGTGTTACCGTGTATTTACCACCATATTTAGTATAATTCTCCTAAAATAAATGAGATCAAAATTAAAAACAATGCATATTATCGAAAATGATCGTTTGGTGCAACTAAGTGCATAAAGACGTCGCTTGCATGTCCTGGCGCCATGGCATGGGGTTTAATTCAGATAAAATACGTCTCAAAACTAAATGTGAGGCGGCGCGGTTAAGCTAACATGAAACACGTTTCACTGAAAAAATGTGTCTTACATTTTGCACGTCAGGAATTCGAGCTGGAGCTGCCGAACTCGCGGCACGAAATAAAATCTTTAGTTCGATAAAAGGTAAGTCTAAAGAAGATGCGAAAGAGTACTACAAAGAAAACGAAGAATTTACATTATTAGCGAGTGAGGAAAGCGAAGAAGTCGGATTTCTAGCAAGTTGCTTGAGCATTTTAGATGAAAACCTTGAAATAGTTAACTCTGAGTCATTGCTAATCGGTCACGTTTAAAGGAGTATTAGATAGTTGTACAAACAAAAAAATTACAAAATTTACAATGTGACATCGTTACAATTTTAGATTAGATACTGTGTTATATAATATCGAAGATTTACTTAAACTTGATCTTCTTATTGTCAAATTGGTAAGATAATTTAATAAAGTAATGAATAT